GAGGCCAGTTTTCCCCAAAGGGCTTTTTTTGGCTCTATGGGTTAAGCTTGATTCCTTAAAGGAAAGCATGCTATTCTATTCAAAGCCTTGGTAAAACAACCAGTTTCTCCAATTGTGTCCTGTTGCAAAAGAAAACATTCTTATTGCACTTACGCAAATAACTATATTGCCATAAGTTAAGAAAACTCACAAATAGTTTCCAAATTCTGGAGAAATAAGGAAGAGAGAAATATGCTCCAAATTTTGTTTATAGGAGTATACTTTACTCAATCGTTAAAAGCTGTAGATAGTTTAAAATAAGTTTTTTTCACTCTGAAAAACAAAACAAAAGATAAGCAACATTTTAAGCTAAAAGTAAAAAAGATTACTTCAGTCTTCTTTTAGCTCAGTCCATGCAGTTAACTCTGGTCCTGTTTGATATTCGTGAACATTTCAGTTCTCTGAGAGTCCCGAAAGTTTTTTCTTTTATTCTAATGTCACAATTTCCAAAGTTATTAAAAACCTGCATTCAAGAGCACCTATCAAAGTCCTACAGCTGATTATAAACCACCTTTTGAAGAGGATCAAAACAAGAGAAGTCTTAGGACAGCCATTATTAAAACCACATTTGACTAGCAATTTGTTACTTCTCTGGCATACAACAGTTTTATATAATTATAATTATTAATAACATACACTAAGTCATATTAGAATTATAGGAGTTTCCCATAATTTTGGTACACATACCAATAACATTTATACAAATATAGCCCAAAGAAAACCAAACACCATTTCATATTTGACAATGCTTCCTGTATGATTTCTATACCAATAAGTCAAATAGGTCTCTTTTGGACTTCTGGGGACTAAAGGCAAAAAATTAATGAGGACCCAAGTTAGAATTTGACTTTGGAAAGTGTGTCAAGTATAAAAAGTTTAAAACGCTTGCTATCATGAAATAGGATCACAGGTCATTGCAAAATAAGTCATTCATTTAACCAAGGTGATAACATAAAGATTTCAAAAACAGGTGAAAACCTTTATTCTTTGAGAGAAAAGACTTAATTTCCCAAATCATAAGCCCTAATAAAGACAGCATGAGGCCAATTAAACCTGTCTTTCAAAATCTTGAAAACAATCTATAAAATGCCTGATTTTTTAATCATCTTGACAAGATAAAATTTCCATAAACCTTGTTTATTATTTGTTAAATTTGAATCTAATTTTTAGAAAATATTTGCTTTGCAAAGTCAATAATTTTTTATTTCTTAAATTTTTCATGCCATCTTTCTCTACTATATTTATTTTAAATAGCTTTGCTTGCTGATTGGGCAAAGGCTATTTTCCAGGCTGGCAAATGCTGTGCCTACAACAAATTAGCTTTTAAAAATCAAATTATACTGACTGCATGTTTAGAAGTAGAAAGTAACTTATTTTACTACCAAAAATAGTTCAGAAGAGAAGTAATTGAAATAAAGTCATTATCGTGCCACTCTAGGCCCCAGATTTTAAATTTCAGCACTTCTAATATTAGCCTAGAGATCAATACCATGCATGTTTCAGTCTTACGGGTAAGATATGGAAGCTGCAGTGAGACATCTTTAAAAACTTGTAAATAATATTGTCCTTTGAGCGTTGAACCATGAAATCGTCCCAGAGTGAGGGATGTCCTGATCGATCCTAGAAAGCATTTTACTTATAGAAAAGTATCTTTAATATATATTTTTACTTGCAAAAAGCAGTTTACTTATAGAAAGCAATTAATATGCAAAGCCAGGAAGTATTGGCATACTTAAAGGCAAGATTTAGATTCACCTAAAGAAAAAAAATCAAAAACTTGTATCCAGAAGATATGCTGTATGGTGAAAAGAAGAGGATGTACAGTAGCTACTTCTAATGGAAGGAGTCTTGGCTAATGGACTTCCCCTTAGGGAGGTTTGTGGCAGATTTTCTAAAACCTGAAGGAGAATTCTTCAAGCAAAAGAGGCTGGAGAATTAGAGACACTAGGCAACTGGAAGAGGCTTGGGGCAGAGAGGGAGACACCAGGGAAAGTTTTGGGAAAACAGGACCTGTGGGTATCTGAACCACCAAAGACAAGGAAGGGAGTGGGGTGAATTGAGCCAGAAGAGGAAAGCAGAACCAGATCATCAGCCTAACCAAGTTTATGTGTGATCTTAAAGGGCTTTAGCAGATAGGCTGATAATGTTATGAGTAAGTGCTATGTAAGTATTAACTATTATTATATTGCTGATAGTTTTACATTTTTCTCACTTGACATTGTATTCTAAGCACGTTTCATGTGATTAAACATTTCTTAGAAACCATTTTTATATTTTTTTTAAGTTAAAGGGCTGCATGGTATCTCAGGCATGATATTTAGCAATTCTATCATTGGAAATTTAAGCTACTTTCATTTCTTGGTATTTAAAACAACCAGTGAAGAAGATGTCTATAAGTTTCAGATCTCATCTTTGATGGTTTCCTTGGGAATTTCTTGTTAAAGTGAAATTACACAGTAGGAACATTTGACACTTCTAAGTATGCACCAATTTACACTCCCATCATGCTACACCGTTGACCAAGAAAAATTACTTTTTATCCTCACCTGAGTGACGAAAAATTGTTTCTCTCACCTTTCAAATTTACATTTCTTTCTGACTAGCAAGATTAAAACTTTTTCATGTTTATTAGTCATTTTATCTTTTCTGTCACTTTCTTCACTCACTAAAAGGTGTTAATGTCCTACATGCTGATATGTAAGATCTTTACATATTAGACATGCATCATTTGCTCTAAATATTTTTTGCTAGTTGGTTTTCAATCTTGTCTTTTGCTACCCAGTTTTAAAGTTTTCTGTCTTATCCTTTAATTCATTAATACACTCAACTAATATTTACTGAACAACTATGTGCAAGGCATTTTTATAGACACATCATTAATGAACAAAATAGTCAAAAATTTCTTGGAATGTGGTACTTAAATTTTAGTGAGGGAAGACAGTAACTGATAAGCATGATAAATAGGTAAATTATATTAGCTAATAAGTGCTTCGGGGGAAAAATGGAGGGCAGAAGGGGTTGGTGATGGGGATATGGAGGCTGCGATTTTAAATAATGCTTTGGGTAGGTCTTATTGAGAAGATGACTTTTGAGGAAGGACTTGGAAAAAAGAGAGTTATTGTGCAGATTATCTGGAAGAAGAGCATAGTAGACCAAGTAAATAGTCAGTGCAAAAGTCCCAAGGGCTGGAACATGCCTGAAATGTTTAATCAAAGAAGTTGGAGTGAACCAAAGAATGAAGTAGAAAAAGATGAAGTCAGAGAGGTTAATGGTGTGTGTATGAAATCATGTAGGCCACTGTATAAGACTTGGGTGAATGGAGGGTTCTGGGCAGAGGGCATGATTCAACTTAGTTTTTAAAGAATAGCTCTTTGAATGTTGTGCTGAAAACAGAATAGTGGTAGCAGTGAAGATGGTGAAAAGTGGTCTGATTTTGGTTGTATTTTAAAAGTATAGTCAACAAGGATTTCTGATGGATTGGATGTAGGGTGAGAGAAAAGAGAGGCATCAAAGACCAGAGGTTTTTGGCCACTGGACTGTGGATTTAGCAACATGGAGGTAATTAGTAACGGTAAGGTAGCAGAGAGTAAAAAAGAATGGTGCCCTGGAAGCCAAGGAAATAACTGGATCAACTGCTGCTAAGAAATCAAATAAGATGAGAATGAACTGGACTGTGCATTTAGCAACATGGAGGTCATTAGTAATGTCTGTGATTTCTTCCACTGTTCTTTACATATTTATGTTATTTTCTATTGGTGAAATGATACATTAGTTATTTCTACAACCATTCAACTTTCCTAACACTATTCATTGAATAATCCATTTCTTTGCTGTGTTTGTTTAGTACTAACTTCCGATCAGCAAAGATCCATATTCCTTTACCTTTGCTCATTTTGGACTCATATTTATATGGAGTGAGTGAATGGGATTGTGGCACAACTGTGCCCTTTTAATAAACCACATCTAAATCAGTTATAATGGCAAAGCCTTAAGGTTGTGCAAGTTATTATGATTGGCTTTAATGTAGTTCATGCATAGGAGAGGGACAGTCACACTTTTGTTAAGTCACTCAGAAATTGTTACCTTCTTATCAAATGTGTATTTTCCTCATGGAAGCATGGAGGAAAAAGGTAAGCATGGAAATCAATTTTTTTGTTTCTGTTACTATTTCCCTTATTGACTTTCAGAAAGAAATACTCAAAAACCACTTCAAAATAATTCAGTTCTCACTCATACACATAACATTTTCAGGATATCATATTTTCAATATTGCTACAAAAATTATTTTTAAGTGCACATTTTTATAAGTGAAACTCGATGTCATAATTTCAAATAATTATTTCATTTTGTTTTGTGTATCTGCAGGCAAGTCAAATGAAAAAACCAAAGCCCTCAATTCAAATGCAGCATCAAATGCAACGAATGAAACATACTATGAAGCTGATGATATAATTCAAGAAAAAACAATGGATGCAACACAAATCCACATTGCTTATTAACTAAAAATTCTGTGTTTTAAATGCTTACTGGAGTGATGGGGCGATAAAAATAAAGCGTGCATTTGAAACAGTTTGTAATATTGCTTTTCAAAAATTCCGGGCGCGGTGGCTCAAGCCTGTAATCCCAGCACTTTGGGAGGCCGAGACCGGTGGATCACGAGGTCAGGAGATCGAGACCATCCTGGCTCACACGGTGAAACCCCGTCTCTACTAAAAAATACAAAAAAAAATTAGCCGGGCGCGGTGGCGGTGCCTGTAGTCCCAGCTACTCGGGAGGCTGAGGCAGGAGAATGGCGTGAACCCGGGAGGCGGAGCTTGCAGTGAGCTGAGATCCGGCCACTGCACTCCAGCCTGGGCGACAGAGCGAGACTCTGCCTCAAAAAAATAAATAAATAAATAAATAAATAAATAAATAAATAAATAAACAAAAATTCGTCACTCACAAAGCAAGACACAGCTGCATTTTTGATCATTCAGTTACTTTATTAAACACACATTAAGGTTTTTATTGGTTTTCCTTTGTATAAATTTACTTTTATTTGCTAATTAAGATGTTTCTGTATCACATGAGATTATGCTAATTATTCAGAAATTAAAGAATTTATCAATAACAAGATAAGCAATTCTATCTCAGTGAAGAACAATGAGAAGTTTATGTCACATTACCAGCATTTCTCAACTTTTTGATAATAACAGGCAGTTATTTTTATGAGATGGTACTGGATAGGTAAATATCAGGGGGAACTGTCTTATAAACTAGAGGTGACTTGTTCTTAAGTCTCTTAGAAGTCAACCTATGTCTTTTTAGATTTTTCTGGGCACAAACAATATATTCAGTAACAAAAAAATCACAATGTATAATCTGTACAATAAATACTTTGTTTCAAGAGATAAGCATAACAAAAAATCTTTTGCGATAGATTTCCTAAATAATCTGTATAATGAAATATACAAAACAAATGAGTTCTCTGGTTCCACCTTATGCTATCACATTAATACCACCTAGAAATCTAGAAATAAAACTAAATTCTGCAAATTATAATTTTTAAAGATTTTAATTCATAAGTGTGTTTTCTATTATAACACAGACCTGGTTTTGTAATAGAATTCATCAGAAAAAAACGGGAATTATTTTAAGTGGCTCTACTGAGCATATCTACTATGTCCTGTGAAGTTTTTGTAGTCAGAAAACTAGCATTTCAGGCAAGATCTGGCACATTTAGGGTGGTATGACCATAGCCAAAAACTAGCATTTCAAAATGTGCTGAATACAGCTTCTCTGGTCTGATACATAAAAAAGAATGCCTTATTTTTCCTGGGCATGCAAAGCTCAGGGTTACAAACATTTTGTCATTAGCCTGTCAAAATTTCTACCAAGAACTATGGTTATCTCCTAGACCAGAACTGTCCAGAGAGAAGTTTCTGAGATGATGGAAATGTTCTTCCTATATCTGTACTAATAATGGTAGCCACCAGTCACATGTGGCTACTAAGCACTTAAAATGTGGCTAGTGCAACAGAAAAAATAAAATTTTTCATTTATTTGATTTAAATAACCCCATGTGGCTATATTGGCCCCATAGTTCCAGATCACTATTGCAACATCCTACTGCCAGAGTTGAACTTCACATTCAAAGACAATTTTGCCAATGTTTAAATATTAAAATTGCTTAACGTATATGTTAAGTTTGAAAATGAAGACACTTCCATTATAAAAATGACATTTTACATGGCCATAAAAGCAAAGAATTTTCACTTATTTTGTGAAAGTTCATAAAGCTTTTATGGGTGCTTCTTGATCTTTGATATAACTTTGATTTTAAAGTATCCAAGAAAATTTGCTATCTTGATATACAGTAATTTAATAATATTACCATATTGTCTCAGGTGAAAATCTAGGTTGAGAAAAATTTAGTTAAGGCACTGGTACCATTCTACTTTTGTTGTTCAAGGGCAAGAACTATAAATGGCACAAGAAGCAGGAAAGAGACAGAGCTAGCAAAATGCTCACTGCCCCAACTCCTCCCAACTTATGCAAAAGGCATAGTGGGGCCAGACATGACTGGATGCATCATGGGTTGTGCTCTAGGAGAGGCACCCCAATTCTCTGCCACTATATCTATTTTTAGAGGAGTTAGGAGGCGATATTGAGGTCAGAAGACTCTGGTCTTCGCAACTGGGATTACTGTCACACTGGCATAAGAAACCTACTATTCTTGGGCGCCCAATGTCCAGGAAGTTTTGGTCTCAGCACTAGGATCAGCTGGAGTCCTTGAAGCACTCCCTGCTGAGCCAGCTTAAAACTAGGTTACCTGAGGTAGAACCACAGGGCTCATTCAGTGGACCAATTGGTATGTCTTTCTGTAACTCTGAAGCAGTTGTGCTTCACAGGTTAAGCCAAATTTCAAAAGCAAGGGGCCTTATTAAATTACAGCACATTTTGTACACTGAAAAATATTCTAAATGATCTGGACCTAACAAATACTAAAATAGTGATAGAATTTAAGCCAATGCAATTAAGAACAAAACACATCTCAAAGTATGTACATGTACATATAACTCTGGGGATGGGTCTAATAAGGAATACAGTAGCTTTATGTGTTTTTAGATGATTTAGGTTACTGTGTAATTTTTGGAAATAATAATGAGACCGTAGAAAGAAATGTGAGTCTAATAATAGAGCCTAAAATAATCAAATTATATTTTACATAGCCTTCTAATGAAAGCAATTTCATCTTTTAAAAATGGTGGGATTAATCGGATTATGAAACTGATAAAACCAAACCCCAATTATTTTTTTTCTTTTCTTTTTTTTTTTTTTTGAGACAGAGTCTCACTCTGTCACCCAGGTTGAAGTACAGTGGTGTGATCTCGGCTTACTGCAACTTCCACCTCCTGGGTTTGAGCAATTCTCCTCCCTCAGATTCCAGAGTAGCTGGGAGTAGAGGCGCCTGTCACCACGTCCAGCTAATTTTTGTATTTTTAGTAGAGACAGGGTTTCTCCAAGTTGGCCAGGCTAGTCTTGAACTCCTGACCTCAGTTGATCTGCCCACCTCAGCCTCCCAAAGTGCTGGGATTACAGGTGTGAGCCACTGCGCCTGGCCCCCCTTAAAACTCTTTAATGATGTCTCATTGCTTACAGATTACAGTTCAAGCTCCCAAACATGGAACACACGACCCCTTCCTCTTGTTCCTAAGAACTTAAAATGGTAGTCTCAATTCTTACCACTTCCTGCCTCGCCTATGATACACCAGCAACACCAGATTGCTTGTAATTCTTGACAAACACCTAACACAGCTTGTTCTACATCTGGTGTTTCTTCACAGCATCCAATCTGTCAATAACTGCCATAACCTTCATTTTTATCCTTAATCAAAGTGCAATTCAGTCACTACTTTGTCTAGGTAGCCTCTTCTAATTTCTCTAGACTAGGTTAGGTACCACTCTGAGTTTCTATAAACTCATGTCAATTACTGCACTAATTATATAACGGAATATGCTCTACTGTTTCTTCTACCAACTACACTGTGAAGTCCTTCAGGGAGGCAAATGTGTCTTACTTATCTCTGTATCCCCAGTACTTAGCACAGCGTTTGCCATGTTAGGTACTCAATAAATATTTGTTGAAGAAAGGATTCAATGGCATTTTAATCAACATTATTAACAACTCTTCAGCCTAGTTTACTCTGAAGGCAAACTAGGGTTATATACTTTTAGATAGAGTTGTAAATACAAACACGTATAGTTGTTTTACTTCTCATTTATTGTTGTTTTGACCTCAGAGAACCAAAGATGTAAATGGAGATGTATATTAAGTATGAAGAAAGAGGGACGCCTCTGAGAAATACCAGCCAACATATGATACGCAAAAAAATAAAAGAGGAAATTATGTGGGGAGAAGGTCCATCAATCCAAAAATAATGGCCATAAAGTGCCAGATAATCTAGTTCCAGATGCAAACCTAAATATAAATTCCGTCTGCATCTGGTGAAAATGATATGCATTAGGTTGTAAGAATATGAACCAAATATCAATTATCTGCTTGAAGAAGCTGAACATGTTTAACTGTTATATTAATAAATTCAACCTTTACTATTGTAGAATGCTAGCTGTTTATAATAATTTTTAAAATGAATATTGCTTGAATTTTAAAATATTGATAATTATATATATTAAAACTAGAAGTGATTTCAGAGATAATCTGGTACAATATTTTATAGATGAAAGACATCAAGGCCCAGGGAAACTAAGTGACTTTGTTCAAGATCATACAGGTAGTTAGAATGAATAGACTGTTTTACTGCTAATTCAGTTTTCCTTCTGGTACATACTGCCTGGGAGGGAATTTCATTAATTTTCTTCTAAAATGTGTTCATGAGATTTACATCCAATCTCAATAATATCATTTTAGAAGAAAATTACTTCAGTAAAAATAAATTTTTATTCAAATGAGATATTTCATAAACTATGCTAAAATTATAGGAAATTTACTTAGGAATACCAAGATAATTTCTGGGGGGAAAACTACTGATCATTAAAATATTTTAATTTGCATACTACATTAATGAGGATTGACTTTTGCTCTTCTCAATCATTATTGTTTTACCATTCAGAAACCTAATGAGCCAATTTATAATCTCTACAATTAACAGTAATAAAACTTACAAATAACTCAATTAACTATTTCACTACAATTACTATCATTTTTAACTACCTTACTCAATGGAATGAGGTCATTGCCTTTGCAGCATCTTCTAATCATTTTTTATTTCATTTTACTATTATTTTTTCAAGGCTAGTCAAGTCAAGCAGTGGGAGTGGAGAAACACCACCGAACTTGGGTCAGCCTCGTTTTTAAAAAAGTTTTATATTAAAAACCGATTTTTAAAATCTTGATAATTGAAGAACTGTATTTTAAAAAAATTAGCAGCAAAGGCAAAACAAAACCCTAAAAACCTGTTGGCTCTGTATTTTTCTCGCAGTTACTGACTGACCTATTTAAACAAAAGCATTTCCTTTTGAGAGGCCCAAACGACTAAATCAGGTTATGGAAAGGCTGAAAGCGTGACAGCTGTCATGGCTGCAATGCTATTATAGAAGAGGGCTGTGGATACACCTTCCCTAGAATTTAAGCATGGGTAAGCATATGTTAAGAGGAGGTATAAGGCTCCCTGAGTCTTACTGAGGGTACCCACATTGGGTGACGGGTGAAAGAAGAATCAGTAAACCTTTCTAGCCTGTGAGGTTAAGTATACTTAGCTGATTTCATTATCACGAATTCACCTGCAGCCATATCTGCAGGTGATCAATTTGAAAATTTCTACGTGCACCATAGTGAGGTATTTGCAATCTTTGGTGCTGTGCCATGATGCTGGTTGACGTTTGATGCTTCTACAACATAAGCATTTACTTTATTGGGCATAAGGGATACCTAAGTATTAAGCAAAGTAACACTGATCAATGTGAAAATAGAAATTTAAAAAACATATCTACTAATATGTATTTGAAAATGCTTACCCATATAAAATTTCCATTATTATATAAAGGCTTTCATGATGCAACTCCCTGGCTCTTAAATTTTAAAAAGTACAGAATAAAATTCTTAATTCTTTTTTTGACACTGCTCTTGAGGTTGCCACAAAAGGAAAAGAGAGAAACACCCCAAACTGCTCATTTATGAAAACATAAGTTCAGTGTGAAATTTGCTTTAAAACTACAAATTATGTCTGACAAAATAAGTATTTATGCTCACATTTATAAAATTTTCCACATTACCCATAGAAACAAGCTTCACAAAATTTACATACTGAATACAATAAAAATCAGTTCTAATAAAGATTTAGCTATCTTCCTAAATAAAAATTTCTGTGTTTGAGGTATCACTGTAAGACATGCCAATATGGCACATTTGTAAAACAACCCAGGCGTCTATCCTAAAAATCCTGACCAACTCAGCATCATCTCTGCATACTTACTAACAGGCTGAACTAGTCTCTTTATACAAGAAAGAAATATTTCAATTATCACAAAAACAAAGGAGGCAGGTACTAGAAATTCTGCATTTCGTAGAACAGTGAAACTTCGTTAAGAGATATTTTCATGATCATCTTCCTGCAGACACCATTCATTTAAAAAGTCCTAGTCAAGACCATTAAGCAGCTGCACTTTCTATGACATTGAAAAAAAATCCCCAGAGATTTAAAAAAAAACGAAGAATTTCACTATCTTTAAAAGATATTCTATTTTAGTATATACAGCTATTAAATTTCTCTGTGTCAAGAGCAAAACATTACCCCTTACCTAGCTTCATGATTGGAAGGTGGACACCTGAATCAGCAATACTCATTAGCTGCTAGGTAGATGACCTGTGTTGACTGCAGTAAAGCCATTTTACAATCAACTTATGAAGTAATAACACTAGCCAAACACACAGAGACACAAATACCAAAAACGATGTGTTTAGTATACACAAATAGCTATACTTGGGGCATGGCTATCAAGTAACAAGACTGATTTATTACTTTGCAGTCATAGCACATTAAAAATATATTGCCAGAGGGATAATGGTCCCACATACAAAAAATGTCTATAGGGAAAAGGCTGTGATTTATTGCAAAGCACAATATACAGCAAATTCCAAGGAAGGGCAAACACGTTTTAAAAACAAATTTTTAAATTTAATGGCTTAAGCCAAAGTCTCAGTTACTTTCTGGAGAATTCAGAACTATTAGGGGTAGAAGACTGCTTTTCCTTTTTTCTCTTCTTTTTTTCCTTTTTGTGATGTTTCCCTTTTTTTGATTTGCTCTTTTTTTCTTTTTTCTTTTCTTTCTTCTGATATTTCTGTTTCTTTTGTTTTGAAGTGTCCTCTTCAGTGGAACTGGATGAGTAAGACCTATGGATAATAATACACACTGACTGAGAATTGCATTTATGGCTGATAGATAAATTTAAGCGGGATTTGAACTGCCTTAAATTCTTCTTGAAGGAAGGTAGTGAGTATAAACATAAACTCAAAACATGCTTCATATATTTGCATTCCCTTAAAATGCTGAATTTAGAATTTGTGCTGCTTGGTCACAGAAATTAACAAAACTAGTATCTCTATTCCACTCAATTTTAGTAATGAGTTTTAAATTCACTAAGGATGAAATTATTTTTCTGTGACTTTTGGTTTTTCATGCAGTTATACCATTCAAAATCCTAAAATGCAAACAAAGGGGCATTCACCAAGCCTTATTATATTCACTTGTGTATATAATAACTTACCATATTTTCTTAAAACTGCCTCAAAAGTTGCAATTCTCTATTTTAAAGGGCTATAATTTTGTGTTCATAGGAATGAATTAAAGCTGAAAGTTAGCAAAATAAAATTCTGCTGATTTTTCAAGTACTGGGTCCGTCTAGACGGAGAATGATACACATGAATACTTGCATTACAAAATAATTTTCATTAGTTACAAAAGGATGCTTTTATGCTAGATGTAAATGAAAAAGGATGGGTTATCATTATGCGTTTGAAAAATATTACTTTAATACTAAATTGGAAAAATTGGTTGGATTCCTTCCTCTAATATTAAAAAAAAAGGAAAAGAAAAAGAACAGAAAACACTATCTTTCAAGATCTTACATAAAGAGATGTGCAACATTCTACCTATACTCAAACTCAAAATATGAGTGACAAGACAGAAACTGAGTGAATTTAAAATGCAAAAAAAGGTACCTGAAGAGTTAGTTTAGTGATCTAAATATTAGGAGTTAAAACTCAAACTAAGAAAACCTGAGATGAACATAAAGAAGGTGCCAATGTAAATTCAGGAGACTACAGGGGTCCAAGGCTATCTTGTGTCTGTATAGTGTGTGAATTCCTTGACTGCCTTCCTCCTTTAGTGACTCCGAGTTTTCCCTTATTTTTGTAATGTTGTGTTCCTTTCTCCTCCTTGTTTGTCTGCTTACTCAGACTTCCGACCATCTGTTAAAGCTTATTTTCTCACGTATTCTCCTGCTCCCTTGCCTCTTCAGTTCTGTTATTCTCGAATCTTGTCTACTTTCCTGTTTTAAAGACCCTGCTTGACTTGACCTCTGGATTCTGACTAAAGCTTCTTCCCTGCCTGCACTTTTTTCTTTAGCTTTTTGGTCCCAAAGTTTTTTTTTTTTTTTTTTTTTTTTGAGACAGAGTTTCACTCTTGTTGCACAGGCTGGAGCGTAATAGTGTGATCTCAGCTCACTGTAGCCTCCATGCCCCCGAGTTCAAGCGATCCTCCTGGCTCAGCCTCCCAAGTAGCTGGGATTACAGGAACCAACACCACCATGCCCAGCTATTTTTTTTTTTTTTTTTTTTTTTTTTTTTTGTATTTTTAGTAGAGATGGGGTTTCACGGTGTTGGCCAGGCTGGTCTCAAACTCCAGACCTCAGGTGATCGACCCACCTTGGCCTCCCAAAGTGCTGGGATTACAGGAGTGAGCCACCGTGCCTAACCTGAAGTCTCAATTTTAAGACAAAATTTTAGGCTGTGGCATAGCAACATGTTCAGGTGGCACTACCTCTGCTAAGTGTGCACAGAAAAGTTAATTTAATTTCAGGTTTGTGATGCTCAAGGTAAACAGGCCCAAATAAATAATCTGTTACTATAAAAGAAATATTTGGGAGGCCGAGGCAGGTGGATCACAAGGTCAGGAGATTGAGACCATCCTGGCTAACACGGTGAAACTTTGTCTCTACTGAAAATACAAAAAAATTAGCTGGGCGAGGTGGCGGGCGCCTGTAGTCCCAGCTATTCGGGAGGCTGAGGCAGAAGAATGGCGTGAACCCGGGAGGCGGAGCTTGCAGTTAGCTGAGATCGCGCCACTGGACTCCAGCCTAGGTGACAGAGCAAGACTCCGTTTCAAAAAAAAGAAAAAGAAAAGAAATATACAGATGTACCTCAACTCACGATGGGGTTATGCCCTGATAAATCTATCTGAAGTTGAAAATACACAAAATACACCTACCCTACTGAACATCATAGCTTAACCTGGCCGCCCTTAAATATTCTCAGAACACTTACATTAGCCTCTAGTTGGGCAAAATCATCTAACACAAAGCCTATTTTTATAATAAAGCGTTGAATATCTCATGTAATTTATTGAATACTGTCCTGAAAGTGAAAAATAGAATGGCTCTATGGGTACCTGAAGTACATTTCTACTGCACCATCATAAAGTTGAAAGATCATATCGAACCACAAAAATTGGGAACTATCTGTATTAGAATTTGGAAGACTATTAGATAATCTCATTTCCTATAAGCAATCCATCTTGCTGTGCTGGAACACATGAGTTAATAATACATGAACAGAAAACCCTGAGCTCTACATTCCTATTTGTTTTTATATTAACGATTATTAGTTAACTCCTAACACCTGAAAGTGAGCTACTTTTCCAATTTATAAGACATCTGAAATATTAAAATATATGTATTAAATGCTCTATAAAAACTACGAAGTGGCAGCCCCTGGTTTCTAGAACCTATTCTGTATGAGAACTGGGTCTAAACTAGAATTATGGTTAATTGCTTTTAAAAAATGCCTGTATGTGCAAATTTATGCTAGTATGAATGAAACTGCACTGACTAACAAGAGAAATGGCCACTTACTACTTTCAATAATTTCTTTAACCAGTTAGTTTTTAAAAGAGTTAATAGTAAAAATGCACAGGTGGCTGAAGACTGGAAGGAAGTTATGATGCCAGCGATTCCTTCAGGTCTTTCACAACCCTCATCAGCCATCATTCATATACACACACATATATATATATGAACTTGTCATGCTAAATATATGTAAATACAAATACAAATGTGTGTGTATGTAGGTGCATATGTGCATATATATATTATATATATAATATATATATAAATATATATATGATACATATAAAAAAATATATATATATATATTTTTTTTTGTCGTGGGGTGCGGGCAGCAGACAGGGTCTTGCTGTGTTGCCCAGGCTGGAGTTTAGCGGTGTGATCACATCTCCTGGGCTCAAGCAATCCTTCTACCTCGGCCTTCCATGTAACTGGGAACACGGGTACATGCCACCACACTTGGATATTTTTTTTTTCCTTTTGCAGAGATGAGGTCTCACTACGTTGCCCAAGCCTGTCTCAAATTCCTGGGCTCAAGCCATTCTCCTGCCTTGACCTCTCAAAGTGCTGGGATTATAGGCATGAGCCATCGCACCTGGACAGCATGACAAGTTCTATTAAATTCTATTAATAAGTTAATTTATTAGCCATGGTAATATTACAAGAATACAAATATTTTTGTCAACTTCATGTATATGAAGACAAAATATAAAGAGCTTAAACTTAAGCTCAATGAAAAGCTTAGTTGTTGAAGAAAAAATATTAAATTAACTGTATTATACGTAAAAAATAAAATTTTATAATCCATCCAAGACTCATAGGCCTGCTTTGTTTTTTAAAATGCTGTTAAAAAAATACCTTTTCCTTTTTTTTTTCAATTTGATTTTCTCTTTGCTTTTTTCTTTTTTCTTTTCCTCTTCTTCATTTATTCCTGGGAGGTGAGAAGAAAAAAATCCAGTCATCATGAGTCTATATATTAATATGGCATGTAAATATGTTAAAATTTTAGCTGTTGGTGAATTTCACTGGTTAGGATATTGTACTTCTTTTGTAATAATTTTCCCCTTTCTTAATTATCTTTATCCATTAAAAAACTCATAAAAGTATTAAATGCTTTTTATAAACATTTCAAATACTAAGTCCATCAAGCAAAAAAATGCAAGTACCCCACCTCTAATTCCCATAGGACGTCAATGCCAGTGGTTTGATGGGTACCATTTGGGCCTCAAAAAGCAGAACAGTACAACAGTGCACAGTTTTAAAATTTTCTTCTGCAACAAAATTAGGATCATGCAATACATATTATTCTCTAACTTGTTTTTTAAATACACTATTCGGTGTCTATTCTTCTAGGCATTCTTTTTACAAAACCAAACACACATACATTTACTCATACACACACATTTACTCATATACACGTAGTTGCACGTAAGTTCCAAGTATTTTTTGCCTTTGAAAAACGTACTGTCACATATATTTTGCAGCTTATTTTTTTCACTTAACATAGCAGATATTCACCTTTGTCATTAAACATATATCAATATCATTATTAAACACAGAATAGTGTTCCCATGAGCCATAATTTATCAATTTCTACTTTCATTGTTAGAAACAATAAGCAATAGAAATCTTTTACATATAAGTATTTCTGGGTGACAGAGCTTGTTTACGTTTATTTAAAGAAAGAGCAGTGGCTCACGCCTGTAATCCCAGCACTTTGGGAGGCGAGGTGGGCAGATCACGAGGTCAGAAGTTCAAGACTAGGCTGGACAACATGATGAAACCCCACTTCTACTAAAAATACAAAAAATTAGCCTGGTGTGGTGGCAGGAGCCTATAATCCCAGCTACTCAGGAGGCTAAGGCAGGAGAATTGCTTGAACCCAGGAGGCAGAGGTTGCAGTCAGCCGAGACCAAGCCACTGCAGTCCAGCTTGGGCAACAGAGTGAGACTTAGTCTCAAAAAAACAAAACAAAACAAAACAAAAAAACAAAAAACAGCAATACATTCAATTTTACTTTAATAAAAGAGTATTAAAGTAAAATTCAAGAAATAGCTTTTCTACAAGAAAGATTATTTCCCAAAAGAGCTCTCTAAAGAAAAAAGACTATAAAAAACTAAGAGTTTGGAGCTATTCTTCTTTTTTTTTTTTTTGAGACAGACTCTGGCTCTGTCACCCAGGCTGGAGTGCAGTGGCATGACCTCAGCTCACTGCAAGTTCCAACTCCCGGGTTCATGCCATTCTCCTGCCTCAGCCTCCTGAGTAGCTGGGACTACAGGCAACCGCCACCAGGCCCAGCTAATTTTATATATTTTTAGTAGAGACAGGGTTTTCACCATATTAGCCAGGATGGTCTTGATCTCCTGACCTCATGATCTGCCCGCCTTGGCCTCCCAAAGTGCTGGGATTACAGGCTTGAGCTACCACGCCTGGCTGTAAACGTTTTAAAATATCTGTGTATATATATGTATATATTCCAAATCTATATATTTTCTAATTATAAAAGCAATGTACGTTCAAGGTAGAGACTTTATAGGTTTCAGAAAAAATGTATAAATAAGAGAATTAAAGTTTTGCTGTTAGGATCTCCTTTTAGTAGCCAGGAAGACTTGGGGTTATTTGGCAAGGTAGAGAATAGAGATCAGTTTGTCTCATAAAATCCTAGGAGATTTTTATTGACCACACTTTATTCAACAAATATTTACTAAATGCTTATGTGTCAGGCACTGTGCTATGTACTGAGTCTTTGCTGTGCATGATCCTTGCCCACAGGGAACTTATAGTTAAGTGGTAAGAAAGAAAATGAACAGGCAAAGATAGCATTCTAAGTGAAGAGCAAGGATAGTGCACGTCAGGAAGAGGAAATCGGTGCCAAAGCTCCAAGGCAAAAAGAGTTTGGTGCGTTCTAGAAACTAACAAGAGGTTGTTGCAGATAGAAGGGGAGGGGCAACTATGAATAAGAATGAACACGAATGAGAACAGATTAACAATAAATCATAAATACATATAGAGTACCTTGAAATGAGAGGCCAGAGAGGTAAGCAGGAACTTGCTTATTCAAGACCATGAAGGCAGCAGTAAGGATTTTACATTCTAAGTGAGATGGACTGTGTGATCGGCAGTCTTAACATGTTAAATGAATTGGAAAGGGCTAAGGGGAAAAGGCAGGGGAATAATAAAGTAACTGGAGTAATGCAGGCCAGACATAGTGGTGTCCTGAATAAAGGCAGTGGAGGTGGTGGTATGTGTGTGAGAAGGACAATGGAACGAAAGGAATCAAGGATGACCAACAGGATTTTAGCAGTGCCATTGATTAAAATGTGGATTGGTGGGAAGTGGGTAGGAGACTGGAGGACAATTGTGGGTGGGGAGTGGAGACTTCAATTGTAGACATATGAGATCTAAAAGACCTGCTTGACATCCAAGTAGATAACTGAAGTAGGCAGTTTGGTACGTGATTCTGAAGTTTAGGGATTAGTCTGGACACACACACTGATCAGCTTACAGGTAGTATTTAAAACTATGGGGAATAAATAAAATTATTTAGTTAGAGAATGATGAGAAAAAATACAGGGAGTAAAGCCCAGGAAGATCATCTGCATCTTGAGGAACTCCAACATTTACAGGCTGAGAAGAGCAGGAAGAAGAGCTATCAAAAAGATTGACAAAGAAGGGCCACAGGGTTGGAAGAATACCAGAACCAAGAAGTAGGAACGTTAAAGAAGAGAGGGGCCACCTATCAGATAGTACCTAAAGGCCAAGTAGAATGTGGATAGAAAAATGTCAAATAGATTTGGCAAAAAGTAATTAAAGTCCTTGACAAGTGGACTGAAAAACAAATGGAAATAAAAAGGTAGAGAAAGTAAGAATAAATAACTTTTCTGAGAAGTTTAGCTAGAAAGCAGCAGAGAAATGGGATGTTAGCTAGAGGGATGCAAAGGATCTAGGGAAGAAGGATGGGAAAAACAAGAAAAAAATTGATGCTGATTGAAATGATGATGTAGAGAGGGGATAACTGAAGAAATAAAATTCTTGAAAAAGATTCATAGCAATTATGGTAGGACATGCCTTTGAAAGGAGGGACAGTCCTTCCATTTTAACTGAAGGAAAGAAAAGAAAGATGGATATATATGCAAATTTGTGGATTAAGTAATTGGAAGCTAAGATGCTCTCATCTGGTGTCTTCTATTTTGTCAATGAAAGAGGGAGTCATTAGCCGAAGGAGGAAGGGAGAAGTGGGAAGTTTGAAGACTGGGGGAAAGGTACAAAATAAGTATGGGGAGTGAACTTGCAAAAATAAATGCAAGCTGAGATTAGGGATCATGAATTTATAAAAACACGAGTCTGCCTCTTTACCTTTGCACTGCTGTAAGGGGATCAGCATGGAGAAGGCAAAGAGAGGTTCATCCATATTTGGGGTCTTGCTAGATAAGGGTAAAAGATAAAGAAATGAGTAAGGCAGTTACTGATATTTGCAAACGAATAATTATGATAATGTATGATGGAATCTAAGCTAGATAAGGGGAAGACTAACTGAATGAAAGTGGTGGGTCAATAGCCTGAGGGTCTTTACATTAAATAAACTGGAAAGATAAGAACTTGGCGTAAAAAGCGTAGAGTGTATGACATTAATTTTGGAGGCTGAGAACAAGGTCCAGGGTGCAATCATGGAAATGTGTGGCTGAGGTGAAGAGACAGAAAAGATCATTTTCAATGATAAGGTCCAGAAGATGAGCTAGGGTGTTGGCAGGTCATTCACAGGTCATCTAAGAGTGTCTCTAAGAACAATGAGAGGACTTGACATGAAAAAATAAGACAATTGAGAGTTTGAGGGTGGAGGATCCCGTGAGACCCAGAGTTAGAAACCAGCCTGGTCAACATAGTGACACCACGTCTTTATAAAAGAAAAAAAAAATAGCAGGCATGGTGGCATATGCCTGTAGTCTCAGCTACACTGGAGGCTGAGGTGGAGGATTGCTTGGGCCCAGGAGTTTGAGGCTGCAGTGATTCATGAAGCCACGATTGCGTTACTACACTCCAGCCTAGACAACAGAGTGGGACCTTGTCTCAAAAAAAAAAAAAAAAAAAAAAGAAAGGAGTCTTCAAATAATTGTGAGGAATGGCCTGCAGTAGATATATGAAGACAATAAAAATGGGAAGAAGCAGGAAAGCCAAATGACAGGAGTCTCAAAAGGGCATTTTGCTAAGACAATACGTTGATGATGTCCTGAACATATAAAAAATGTGAGTTATTAAAGACAATCAGTGGGAAGTATGTAGTTTAGAGAACTAAAAATGTAATTAAGAAAAGGAAAAAAAAATGGCCAGACCAAAGATAAAATGTATTAAGGAGGAAAGCAGTCTTGAAATTCCAAGAACTATTTTTAATGTCTTCCAGCTCTCAGTTCTCTCTCTTCCTTTCTAGAGGTGGCGCTGGCCACCTCTTTCCTGAGTGCTATCAGCTAAGGTGTCAATGGTTGGCATACTAAGTTGGAAAAAATAATTAAAGGCAAAGTGAAGAAAAACAGGATGGGGGAAATAAGGCATTTAAAAAAAAATCACATCCAATGACAATGTACATCTGGAGACTCAGAAATTGTACAAATAAGTACTGTAGGTTACTTATCTCTATTTCTAGTATCCAGGATTTTGTCAGTTACGCCAACAGCTTTTTAGAAAACTGATCAATGCCATTTGTCCTGAAAAACTTCTCTCCATTATGACAGAAGTACTAAAACAATGCAAGTGATGAAATGCTGGGAGAGATTCTATACTATTTAAGCAGAATGAATAATATGATTTTTGAAGCTCAGCTATTTCAATTATATGAAATACTTGAAAATGACAAAACACTCTATCAGCTCAGGTTCCTATTTGCAAATGACATGACAATTTACACTGATATTCCCAAGGAGTCTAAAAAAATCTAGA